CCTGGGCACTGTCCCTCAGCTCTTCAGCTCAAGGCTAGCGCTCTACCACTTGAGCCACAGCGCCACTTCCGGCTTTTTTCTTTTTGCTTATGTGGCGCTGAGGAATCGAACCCAGGGCCTCAGGCATGCAAGGCAAGCGCTCTACCACTGAGCCACCTTCCCAGCCCTGGCATCTGCTTTTTTATATCTAATGCTTTCTACCCATCCCCAACAATGAGCCCAGGATAGAGAAGGTACTTAGTGATCTGTAATCACTTGGACTGCAGGATGGGAGCCTGCCACATGGGGGTGAAGGAGGCAGAATTGTGGTAGACAAGGTACAGAAATAGCACTAACTGGTTGTTATACTGCTAACCCTTTACTGGCATTCACATGTGATACCACTTACAGTAACATGTGCTACTACTGCCATCCTGTACTTGAGCACATTAACATTCTTGGCTTGAAAGGCTTGAAAGACTACACAAAGTTCACATCGGCTTAAGTCATATTAAACAAGTTGGGAACCAGTGGCTCATGCCTATAAAGCTATTTAGGAGACTGTGATCTGAGGATTGCAGTTCGAAGCTAGCTCGGGCAAGAAAGTCTGTAAGACTCTTTATCTGCAATTGATCATTATCCCCCCCCCAAAAAAAGGCTGGAAGTGGCTCAAGTAGTAGGGCACCAGCCTTGAACAGAAAATTCATTAGAGATAGGGCCCCCCCCTGAGTTCAAGCTCAAGTATGGCACACAGATGCCAAAGAAACAAACAACCCTTTTTGAGTTTAGAGCTTTCAGAGTTTGAAATGCTCTGGAAAAGGATTGAAAGCATGTGCATTTCATCAGTTGAGGAAAAGATTGGGAAGGAGAAATGATATGGAAGGAATAAAATATTTCTGTTTGACCACTAGAGGGCGCTTGGTTACTACTCTAGCAGGGATCCTTGCTAATGGACATTTTCACTTAACTTCAGCTTGCAGATACCCACAGGTTACCTAACCTGAAAGAACTTCTGCAGTCCTCTGGAGACAAAGACCAGTGGGCCTGGGACCTGGTGAGCTGGATCTTATCTTCCAAGGTCCTGACAATCCACAGTGCAGGGAAAGCCGAGGTGAGACTTGGATCTGTTGGGATCACAGCTTCCCAGGGTTCAGGGCTCTGGGACAGCAACAAATCCAGTAACTGTGAATCTTCCTTATGAGCCAGAATGACCTGATAGCTTGAAGAAAATGCTAATTCATGGGCCCGGAGCTGGCAGGGCAGGGCAAAGCTATGTTCTGCCTACTTGTGTGACCTTGAGCAGGTTACCAGGTGCATTTCAGCATCTGTTTCTTCATCTGTAATGTGGAGATTAGAATAGTATACTTCTCTGGAACTGGCTGTGGGAATGAATTCACACTCTGAGTAGTGCCTAAGGGCCTGTCCTAAGCTTCTGAAAATGTTGGTACCCCTTTATCCAAGTAGCAATGCAGGTGACTCTGATAAAGGAAGACCCTGACTACTTAAAAAAAAAAATTTTTTTTAAATACCGATAGTGGAGCTTGAACTCAGTGCCTGGGTACTGTCCTTTTTCATAAAAAGCTGGCCCACTACCACTTTAGCCACATTTCCACTTCCAGCTTTTTTTTTCTTTTTTTTTTTTGTCAGTCATGGAGCTTGAACTCAAGGTCCAGAATCTGTCCCTGAGCTCTTTTGCTCAAGGCTAGCACTCTACCACTTTGAGCAACAGCACCACTTCTGTTATTCGGGTGGTTAATTGGAGATAACAGTTTCATGGACTTTCTTGCCCTGGATGGCCTTGAACTGTGATCCTCAGATCTCAGCCTCCTGAATAGCTAGGCTTATAGGCATGAGCCACTGGTGTCTAGCTTCACTTCCAGCTTTTTTTTTTTTTTTTTTGCTGGTTAATGAAGATAGAAGTTTCAGGGACTTTTCTGCTTAGGCTGGCTAAAAACTGATCTTTGGATCTCAGCCTCCTGAGTAGACAGGATTACAAGTATGAGCTGCCCGGGGGTGCGCATGCCTGTGTGTGTGCATGCATGCATGCCAGTCCTGGGGCTTCAGTTTTGAGCCTGGGCATTGTCCCTGAACTTTTTCCCTTAAAGCTAGTGCTCTACTACTTCTGCTTTTCTGGTGGCTAATTGGAGATGAGTCTCATGGATTTTCCTGCCTGGGCTAGCCTCAAACTGGGATCCTCAGTGAGATTTCAGCCTCCTGACTAACTAGGCATGTGCCATCGGTACCCAGTTGAAGGAAAAATTTTACTAGAAGAACGCTTGATTTATGTTCTCCAAGCTTGTTCATAAATTCATGTCTTGTGAAACTGTTGTTCTGATGAACAGAACCCATGGCTGTCAAGTTCAAGGCTTTAGGAAGCCATTTCTTTTTTACAGTGTATTTTCTTTCTCTACTCCAATTGTAACTCCCTTTATGTTTTCAAGTTTGAAAAGATCCAGCAACTGACGGGTGCCCCTCACACGCCTGTCCCTGCCCCAGACTTCCTTTTTGAGATTGAATACTTCGACTCAGCCAACGCTAAATTTTATGAGACCAAAGGAGAACGAGACCTCATCTACGCCTTCCATGGTAGCCGCCTAGAAAACTTCCATTCTATCATCCACAATGGCCTTCACTGCCACCTGAATAAGGTGGGCTCAGGGGTCACCTTGCTCACATGGGTGGGGAGAGCACAGGGGTAGTACCAGGCCCAGGGTACCCTGCTCACATGGGGGGGGGCACAGGGGTCGGGTTTTGGTAGAGAACAGAGTGTGGGTGAGTGTGTTTATGGACGCCTGGGCACTCAGGGTGTGGTCTCAGACCAGCTTTTTTTTTTTTTTTTGGATGCCTAATTGGAATAAATGTCTCACAGCGCTAACAGTGTCTCTTGAAAGGTGGTAAAAAAAATGCAGAAGTTTAGGCTCACTTTTGACCTTCTAAATCTGAAACCAACAAGATCTCCAGTAGCTTCCTATGGTGATTATAGACTGAGAAGCATCAATGGTTCCTAGCCTTGGCTTTATATTTGGATCACGTGGAAGGCTTTAAAAAACAAAATGCAGGCCTGGGAAGGTGGCTCAGTGGTAGAGCGCTTGTCTTGCATGCCTGAGGCCCTGGGTTTGATTCCTCAGCACCACATAAGCAAAAAGAAAAAAAAAAGCCGAAAGTGGCGCTGTGGCTCAAATGGTAGAGCGCTAGCCTTGAGCTGAAGAGCTGAGGGACAGTGCTCAGGCCCAGAGTTCAGGCCCCACAACCGGACCCAAACAAAACAAAAAACAAAATGCACTCAAGTGCCATTGGCTCCTACCTGTAATCCTAGCTACTCATGAGGCTAAGATCTGAGGATTATGGTTCGAAGTCAGCCTGGCAGACAAATCCCTGAGACTCATCTCTAACCACCCCAAAAAGCCAGAAATGGGGCTGTGGCTCAGATGGTGGAATGCTAGCCTTGAACTAAAAGTTTAGAGATAGCGCCCAGGAGCTGAGTTCAAGGCCTAGGATCAATGAGTGTGCATGCATGCACGCACACACAGACACAGACACACACAATTTCCCAGTGCCTAGCTGTATCCTTTTTTTTGGGGGGTCGGGTCATGGGGCCTGAACTCTGGGCCTGGGCACTGTCCCTCAGCTCTTCAGCTCAAGGCTAGCACTCTACCACTTGAGCCACAGCGCCACTTCCGGCTTTTTTTCTTTTTGCTTATGTGGTGCTGAGGAATCAAACCCAGGGCCTCAGGCATGCAAGGCAAGCGCTCTACCACTGAGCCACCTTCCCAGCCCTGCCTAGCATCAGCAGCATGCTTTAACTGCTCTCCAGTGATTGTAGTGTATGGTTCCCTGGGCCAGTGACATCTGTATCATCTAGGAGCTTAATAGAAAGGCCCGCCCCCAACCACCTGCTCAAAACCCACAGGTTATTATTGATCCCCAAGGGACCAATCAGCAGGTTGATGTTTGAGAAGCACCCTCCCCCTCCCCTCTGGGAACAAACCACTAGTGACAACTTTGGGATAAACCAAGGAATGTGCCGGTGTTCCTACATGCCAGAAGTCCTTGTCCTCCCTCCCTCATAACTTTCTTTTCATTTTGAGGAATTTAAGCAGCTTCTCTGCTATTCCTTCTCTTTATTTCTCAGGAAGCTGTAGGATAAAGATTTTAGCCAGGACCTGAAAATAGATTTGCTCTACGAACACTGACTTCAAACCCTTTGAGGCTCAGTTTCCTTATCTATAGCACAGGACTCTATTGCCCTCTTTCATCTTTCTTTCTTTCTTTCTTTATTTTTGCTAGACCTGGGGCTTGAACTCAGGGCACTGTCCCTGAGCTCTTCTGCTCAAGGCTAGCACTCTACCATTTGAGCCACTGCACCACTTCCAGCTTTTTCTGTGTATGTGGTACTGGGGAATCAAACCTAGGGCTTTATGCATGCTAGGCAAGCACTCTACCACTAAGCCACATTCCCAGCCCTTTCTTTTTTTTTTTTTTTGCCAGTCCTGGGGCTTGAACTCAGGGCCTGGGCACTGTCCTTAGCTTTTTAGCTGAAGGCTAGCACTTTACTACTTGAGCCACAGATCTGCTTCCAGCTTTTTCTTTCTTTTTTTTTTTTGATGCTTAATTAGATATGAGTCTCATGGACTTTCCTTTCCAGGTTGGCTTTGAACTGTGATCCTCAGATGTCAGCCTTCTGAATAGCTAGGATGACAGGCGTGAGCCACCAGCACCCAGGTCTCCATTGCTCTTTTTTCTAGCATATAAGTGGATTGAAGAGTTGTTTTTGTTGTTGTTTTGTTATGACAGTCCTGAGGCTTGAACTCAGGGCCTGGGCGCTGTCCTTGAGCTTCTTTTGCTCAAGGCTAGCACTCTACCACTTGAACCACAGAGCCTCTTTCGGCTTTTTCTATTTATGTGGTACTGAGAAATGGAACCTAGGGTTTCATGCATGCTAGCAAGCGCTCTATCACTAAACCACGTTTCCAGCTCCTGAAGAAGTTTTTATGAGTATAAAGGTTTTGTGACTGAAGCGCTAAGGAAGCTGTAGTAGCTCTTCTCAGCTGAAGGAAAGGGCATCTCAGGTAGTGGGAAGGCTATGGGCTGCTCTTCCAGCTGTGGCAGCATCTGCCTTGTCTGTGAGGGGCTGGCTCCAGGAGCATGGGCTTAGTTGGGGCTGATTCAGCCCTGAGGCTAGTTGAGCCATTTTCAGGCCTGCTGCGTCTGATTAGTGCTGGTGGGTTTTGCTGAGGACGAGGTCTTGTTTATGCTGGCTCTCAGTTTATTAATCTGGCCAGGCTACTGGAACCCCAGGAGACGTTGTCTTCAGGTTAATGAACTCATACACTCTTCTTATTTCTTCCTTTTCCTTCCTTCCTTCCCTCCTCCTCTTCTTCCTCCCCCTCCTCTACTTCCTCCTCCTCCTCTTCCTTTTCTTCTTCCTCTTCTTCCTCCTCTTTCTTCTTCCTCTTCTTCCTCCTCTTTCTTCTTCCTCCTTCCTTCTTCTTTCTACTTTTTGGTGCTGATCTTGGGGCTTGAACTCAGGGCCTGGGCACTATCCCTTAGCTTTTCAGCTAAAGGGTTATTGTACTCTACCACTTGAGCCACAGCTCTACTTCCAGCTTGTAAATTTTTGGAGGCTTCATTGGAAATCAGAGTCTCACAGGCTTTCCTGCCCAGGCTGACTTTGAACCATGATCCTCAGATCACAGCCTCCTGAATAGCTAGGATTATAGGCATGAGCCACCAATGCCTGCTTACCAGATCTTCATTTAACTTCCTAGGAGTTAGCTGTCTAGCAGCCCTCTAAGAATTCTCTAGTGAATCAAATCTAATTCTGGGTGCTGGTGGCTCACATCCTTTACCACCAACCAGCCTTTGCTATGGAGGGTACTGACTTAGCACTCATCACCAGGGAGCTGCATCCTGGATCTGTTTTGGACACCTGTTTTCTTGTGATGCTGAAGGTGGTCCTGAGGACCTTCCACATGGCAGGCAAGCCAACCCTCTACCACTGAGCTCCCGGGCCCATTGACGTTTCTGGAAATATCTTAGCTGTTACCACCAACACAAAGCATAAAACGTACCCTGCACTTCATGTCTGCTTCTCATCTGGTCTCAGAGATCCCTTTCTTTTCCAAGTCATGACTCAGATCATCCTCTCTTGCAGGTGGTGCATCCGGGTGGGACTTTGCAAACACATTGGCATAACAATGCTGCTTCTTCCTTCCTCCCTCTCTTCCTTAAGATTATTATTGTTATTGTTGCTGCTCCTGGGGCTTGAACTCAGGATCTGGGCTCTGGCTCTGAGCTTTTTTGCTCAAGGCTAACGCTTTACCACTAGAGCCACAGCTCCACTTCTGCCTTTTTGGTGGTTACTTGGAGATAGGAGTCTTACGGACTTTGCTCCCTGAGCCGGCTTTGAATAGAGATCCTCAGATCTCGGCTTTCTGAGTAGCCAGGATTACAGGCGTGAGCCACTGGGGCCTGGCTTCAGAGAAAGTTTCTACAACTTGCCTACTTGTTGGAACATTCAAACTGAGATCTGTTTGGACTCAGAGCTCCAGGCTTTTTCACTCACCCTTGACCACAAGGTAGTGCTGTTTTGCCAGGCCCAGTGGCCAAATCTGCAGTCAGCTAAACCATTGTCAGATGGGAATGTATTTAGTAGAAAACTCTACCATGAGGTCATACGTGTTTCAGTCTTATTGTATAATATGGGTGGGGCTTCAAAATGTTTATGGTTTTTTTATTGGTGCTGTTTTTGTTTGTTTGTTTGTTTCAGTCCTGGGGCTTGAACTCAGGGCCTGGGCACTGTCCCTGACATTGTTTTGCTCAGGGCTAGTACCCTACCACTATAGTGCCACTTCTGGCTTTTTTGCTGGTTAATTGGAGATAAGAGTCTCATGGATTTGTCTGCCAAGGCTTGACTTTGAACCTTGATCCTTGGAGCTCAGTATCTTGAGGAGATAGGATTACAGGCATGGGTCACAGGTACCTCACCAGTGTTTGTATTCCTATGGTGTCAAATCATTGCTCACCCTTGTGTTTCTTCCCTTTGGGCCTCTGCCTCACAGACGTCCTTGTTTGGAGAGGGGACCTACCTCACGAGTGACTTGAGCCTGGCCCTCATTTATAGTCCTCACGGCCACGGGTGGCAGCGCAGTCTCCTGGGCCCCATCCTTAGCTGTGTGGCTGTGTGTGAGGTCATTGATCATCCAGATGTCAAGTGCCAAACCAAGAAGAAGGGTGAGTGGGGACTTCGTTCACACCTGGCTGTTGGCCCAGTTGTATGTATGTGTTGGGGGGAAGAGAGCGGGTCTGGGGCATCTGAAGGGATGAGGGAGAGGGTGCTAGAGAGTGAAGGACAGGGATTGAGTGTTGATGGACACGATCACTTACTACAGGCCAGAGACAGGGAGTGCCATGAGGAGCCTACAAGGCCCAGCGGATTCATGGAGGAGAAGGGGCATCATGCTGTATCCAAGTGGTCCAGGAGAGCAGTTGGATGAGAGGAGAGCATGACCTTCTTTAGTGTGTGTGTGCTGGTCACGGGGCTTGAACTTGAGGCCTGGACACTGTGTCTGAGCTTTTTTGCACATGGCAAGCACTCTACCACTTTGAGCCACAGCGTCACTTCTGGTTTTCTGGAGATAAACATCTCATGGACTTTCCTTCCCAGGCTGGCTTTGAACTGCGATCCTCAGATCTCAGCCTTCTGAGTAGCTAGGATTACAGGCCTGAGCCACTGGTACCCAGTGACCGTGGACTTCTTA